GTTAAAAGAGCCCCAAGGATCTCGATCTCACAAACCCATGATGGGAACAGCCTAATCATAAAGGGCGAGATCAACGGAATGCCGTGTAAGCTGACCATAGACACTGGAGCCTCTCGTACGGTTGTTAGTTCCCAACTTATAAGTCAGTTCCTTGGGGACTCCGCATACAACCGAGAACGCCTTAATTTGGTAACAGCCACCGGTCAGCGTATACCCGTCCGTGGAGAGAAGGAGATGGAGTTGAAGCTAGGCAACGTGATCTACCTGCATAATGTCATCGTGGCTGATATAATGGACGACTGCATCTTAGGCCTAGACTTTATGAGGAATAATTGTTGTGAGATCGACGTTAAGCAAGGTGTTTTGAAATGTGGACAGGAGGAACTTTTTATGGAAGGTGCGTTACCAGGGAACGTGTATAGCATCAAGAAGATTGCAAACATTGTACTAGGCAAGAGAGTAAGGAAGTGGTATCCGTGAGGATGCTCAGGGCAGACCACCTCAGCAACGAGTGGAAGGACAGCTTACTACATGCACAGCAGGAAGATCCGGACATCAAGCCGATTCTGGAATGGATAAAGGCCAGTGCTCCCAAGCCCAAGTGGAGTGACGTCTCAGCGATGAGTTCGACCACTAAAAGCTATTGGGCCCAGTGGGACAGCTTGCTGCTTCAGGATGGAGTTCTGTGTCGTAAATGGGAAAACGTTCGGGGAGACAGCTGTCATTTGCAAATGGTTGTCCCTAAAGTTAAAGTACCGGATGTTCTACAGCTGTACCATAATGATTGTTCAGGAGGCCATCTGGGAGTTAAACGAACTCTACTGAAGATCCGAGAACGGTTTTACTGGGTCCACTGTCGAAACGATGTCGAGGACTGGTGTCGCAAATGTACAAGTTGTGCGGCTGTAAAGGGACCTCAGACGCGTAGTAGAGGTGCATTGAAGTTGTACAATGTTGGTGCACCATGGGAGAGAATAGCCATTGACGTGGCGGGGCCGTTTCCGGAGAGTGAAAGCGGTAACAAGTATTTCATGGTTGTGATGGATTACTTCACTAAGTGGCCAGAAGTCTTCGCCATTCCAAATCAAGAAGCTTCAACAGTTGCAGATAAACTAGTTCATGAAGTCTTCTGTCGTTTTGGAGTACCTTTAGAGATTCACAGCGATCAAGGAAGGAATTTTGAGTCTCAAATATTCCAGGAAACTTGCCGAGTTATGGGTACTCATAAAACAAGAACGACTTCTTATCACCCGCAATCTGATGGAATGGTGGAACGATTTAATCAGACATTGGAGAGGTACCTAGCAAAAGTTGTAGACAATCGGCAACGAGATTGGGACAAGCACATACAACCGTTTTTGTTGTCATATCGAAGTTCTGTTCACGAAAGTACAGCAGTGACACCAGCTTTCGCAAACTTTGGAAGAGAATTACGGCTGCCTGCAGACCTGATCACCGGGATACCATCCGATGCTCCACGCAGTATAACCGATTATGCAAATGACTTGTGGAAAAAAATGAATGACGTTTATGAGCACGTCAGACAATCGGGCCAGCAAATGTCTGAAAAGATGAAAACCCGGTATGACCGCAAAATGAACAACAAAGGTTTCGACGAAGGTTCACTTGTGTGGTTGCACAATGCAGTCCGCAGCAAAGGGAAATCTCCTAAGCTTCAAGCTAAATGGGACGGCCCGTACCGGATTGTAACCAGGATCAACGATGTGACCTACCGGATACAGAAAGGCGCAAGAGGGACTCCTAAGATCGTCCATGTGGATCGCTTGGCGCGTTATTATGGGACCGATAATGCTTGGGACGAGCATGTCTTAGGAGGGGGCAGTGTTGCATGAATAAGTCAACTAGCGCCATCTAGTGTCAGGAACGAGAGCGAGGGGAGCATTGAGAAAATGACATCACAAATCGCTCAACTGACAGCGCCTAGTCGAAACTCGAACGCTCGGTACCTTCCGCGTGTTTACTTGAACATTCTGGATATTTCTTTGCTAATTCAAATATATAGGCGCTGCAAGATGCGATCGAGGCAGTGTTGATTTGGGCGAAACAAGCGAAGCTTCGGGTGGAATTAAGTGAATTAGTGTGTTTAAATTATTAGTGTTTTAACTCTAATTGTGTAAAGTAAATTAAAGTGTTAATTTAGGTAATTTTATCGGCAATTTTTATTGTCACGAACCTCAAGCTCGTAACAATATTTTGTCGTTCAAAAAGTAAAATATTGTTTAAAATGTATTTTGGAGTAACTATTTACATTCCCATATCCACTCATAATACTTGAAAATACTCATTTGACCTCTTTAAATAGAGATCTGACTTTGGGATATTTTCCGGTTTACTGACATGAACAAAAACTATATGTTGATGTCAAGCCAGCATATATAACACGGCGACTTATAAAATAAATAAATAGTGAACAGTGTAGGTAGTGGCGGTGTAAAAATATCCACTAGACAATCATCTCGTGTGTGTCGTAAAATACGACAAACGGGAACAAATGAGGAGATGGGATGTAGTGTTTTCCTGATAATAATAATGTCCTCCAGACCGAATTTCGGCCACGGTGGCTTGCCTCAACGGAGGCTAGCCAGCGCAGGACAGGATTATAGTGCCCAAGTGTATGCGCAAGCACAGATGCACTCTCTACTCCCTCACTCTCATAGTCCGATGGGACGGTAAACCGACACGACTGGAGAGAGATCAGGCGCAGGACCAACGGCTTTTCGTGCTTTCCGAGGCACGGGGGTGAGACACCGCCAACTTCCTGACTCCGGGCAGTTACTGAGAATTTCTTGACGGAAAACTACAATAATTGATTTTTTGGCCCGACCCGGGATTTGAACCCAGGACCTCATGGTCGGCAGTCGAACCACTACAACCACTAGACCAACGAGGCAGTCAAACCATTTCCTGACAACAGCTATAAAAATTTGTTATCAACCAGCTTGCCATGCGTGGCAACTTTGGCAAGTGATTACCTTGTGAGAAAAACTATGGCGAAGCCAATGTTCAAAAGTGGACCTTGATAGGATGTAATGATGTTATTTTTTATAGAACAAGGATGACAAACGAGTATACAGTCTGCTTGATGGTAAGTGGATGCTATTGCACATAAAAATCTACCAGTTTTACGTGGTAGAGCCACGCTGCAGCTATATTATGGTTGTAGCACGAACGGGTCGACTTGACCGGGGAAGAACCGCGCTCTCACAGAATATCATCGTGAAATAGCAGCTTAATACTGCCCTGTTTCGTATGGTGAGAGTAGAGATGCGGAGATTTTTTTCACGAGAAACGAGGCATTCCGTCGTCCACTGGGGTGACAACGCATCTACGTTTTCTTAATCGAGGATAAATCTAGATGTCTATGAGCCACAGCATCCACTCACCATCAGCTGTGATCGTTTGTCACCCTTATTCTATTAATACAACATCTATTCACGATTACGACGCAGCAGTAAGCTGCTATTTTACGCTGGTATTCTGTGAGAGCGTGGCAGGACCACTTGGGGTCGGAGCTATGTATAGCTGTAGCGTGACTACCACGTAATAGAATACTCTTTTATAATAATTTTGTAATATATCATAACAAGCGCCTGTAATTTTAATATTTCCTGACGGTAATGTGTTATTTTGCTATTTCGAAATGAAATAGCTATTTTGATATGGCTACATGTGAACCTAAATTTTTCTATAATTTACTAATATAACTGGATTGGATACACTAAAGCGGGGAATAGTTCTGTTGCGACTTATTAATTTTCAAATAAAGTTATCAAATACATATTTTAGTAGTTAATTATACGTATTCGGTACTCTATTGTTTCTAATGTCAACTAAACCAAGTTGTCTTTTTCTCTTTACTAAATGACAATAGAAGAAACAGGTAAACAAAAGAAGAAATACAGATAGTATTGAAGTTACAGCCTATATACGTCCCACTGCTGGGCACAGACCTCCCCTCATTTCTGAGAGGGTTTTAGGGCAAGGAAGTGTCCGCCGCGCTGCCCCAATGCGTGTTGGCGAACTTTCACATGTCTTCGAAATATTTTTTTCGCTCAGCGTTAACAAATCGTATTATAAATTGAAAATCCAACTTTTTTAAATTTGTTTTTAAGGTTTTAGGTAAGTTAGGAGTTAATTTAAATAAGCGGCAGTCAACAATTTTATGCTGGGTAGTTAATTTTTACCTTTTATCCATAGATTACTGTATATGTACTAGCTTTTATCCTTGAATCCGTAAAAGTACGGATTTTATGTCACCTGCTATTATTTTTTTATTATTTTTTTTAATGTGAAGCTCGTTGTGACGTTCGAGTTCATTCTTTAGTTTGTTTTTAAAAAAAATACATATTAATAACATTCCTGATTAATTTAGTTTAGATTAATATTTTAATTTAGCTCATAATTATGACTATTCCAATGTTAATATTAATGCTATATTTTTCCGCAGGTGGAGCCAGCGAAAATAGTAAAAAGCAACGCGGACCCAGCCGATAAACCTGAATATTCTTTTAGATCTAGAAATCAAGGAATGGGTAATTTGAAGCGAAAGTTTTAAACGTCGAAAGAATATTCTAGTGCTTATGTGCTTGAAAAATATGATCTTAATTTGTTACTCAAGGTTTCAGACATCTAAGTAAATTTCTAATAAGTTTTAATGTGTCGCACTTATCGCACGATGTTTGTGATTTCAAATAAAAAAACCGCAACATAATTTCAAAGTATTTTAATAATCTTATCTACAATAACACGATATTTTTTTTATAAAAGTTAGCATAGAAAATTATTTATTAAAATGTACAATAAATTAAACTAAAGAGTCCATTGCCATTGAGTATCATAGTCAAGAAAAAAAATACTTTTATGTGAGAAAGAAACTGGCGCACAGACCGCGGCAAGAGAATCGAACCTAAATTTAAAAAAATATTTACAAAAGCCGAATAGTTCTAAATAAATATTACGCCCTATTTAATTTGGTAGTGTTACAATTCTATGGTCTTCCCGTGTTGGTTTATATTCTTCATGTTCTTATTGCATAGTTCCAGTTCGAGTCTCAGTCCGTCCACTTCGGCTTCCAAAGTGCGCGACCTCTTGAACATCTGCACATAGTTCATTTGTAACTGCTTCTGGTATCTCAGTACTTTGTCCTTCTCCTCGGACCACTTTCTCCTCTCGTTGTTGAACTGGGTTTCCTTCGATTGCATTTCGCATTTGAGTCTTTCTAGCATCGCGCTCGCCGGGCAGGGATCACTGCATGTGTCGGGAAGTTCCCCGTTCAATCTCTGTACTTCTGCGTCTTCCAGAGCGCTATCGCTGGAACTCCAGTGGTATTCGTTCGTTTTGCAGACATCGTAAATCCCTCTCATTGTCCTCCCACACTCTATCCCTTCGTATCCGCTTAGCGAAACGTCAGATAACTCTTGCCTTAGTTCTTTTAGTTCGGTTTTTAGTCTTTCGATTTCGTTCTTGCTGCTCTCCTTTACTTTGTTCAGGTCTGCTACGCTCTCCATCAGGTCGTTCGTCAGTCTGTCGACTTCTGTTTGTAGTCTGCTCATTGACTTCTCTTTCTCCTCCAGTTCAGATCGCAGCCTCATTATGTCCTTCTCTTTTTTGTCGAGCGCTTCTCTTAGTTGGCGGCTGTCGGCTTTTAGTGTTAGGTATTCGTGACCTTTGGCTGTCTGCTCGTTCTGTAAAAGACAAGAAATGTTGTTATTAAAAATAATAAAACTAAACTTAACTTAAACTTTTAAAAATTAAAGAAAACCTAAAAAACACGCTTTGATCATGAGCAGTGATGATTCTAGAAAGAGTTATCCTTGTTATCTTGATCTAAATGTATTAAATTAGGTCAAGCGACCTTTATATCGCTGCATACAGGACGTAATCAGCACGTGCACGGGACGTAGACGGAACGTGGTTGTATGTCAACACGGACGGGAGTTTAATGCATACGCACCGTGATAGTGACTCGAAACTAACGTGTTAGTGTTGATGATGATAGATGGATTTTTAATTTGAAGAATCGATATTAATTGCTATTGCTTTAGATGTTGAAGAAGCTACAACCGTAAAGAGTAAAAGGAGATTTTCTGTACATTCTACGTGGCAGAAAAGTGGAAGGTGAACGCTGACGATATTTTTCCCGTCCCGTTCATGCCACGTCCCTGTCCCGCCCGTGCATCAGTAACGTATGCATTAGCACATACATTTTCTATGAAACAATATTTCCAAAATTTCACTTCCCGCTCTGTCCGGAATAAAACACGTTACGTATGCAGCGACCTTAAGTTGGTGAAAATATTCCTTAAGAAGGTATGTTAATTTAAATAAGACAAAAATGATGAAGATTTAGAAAACAGAAAGCCATTTTGACGTTATTGTTATTTTTGTGTAAACAGAGTTATTTTGCAATAACCGGCCAAATATGCAGAGAAGGTTCTGAATAAGTAATATAGGCAAAAGTTAAAGAAAAATTAATTAAAAAAAGTCTCAAGCATTCTGTTCATTATTTTTTTAATTTTATTTTAACGGCATTAATAATTGCATTGTTTTAACTGATTTCACTGCGCGCGCACACACAATATACACGTAAGATTAGATCGGTAGGTAAAAACTTTGTTGCCCATAAATCACATTCAATGTGGGAAAATTTCAAATATAAGTAGAAGCCTTATTTATATATCAATCAAATCAAATGCTGTTTCAAAAACTGCAATAACGATGTATATCATTATTTACATATTTGAACTTAAGTTTGAAATTTGGCCTCCGAGATCGTTTTCATTTTTCCTTCCTTATTTTTTACATTTCATATGTTTACGAGGGTATTATGTTGAACTGTACAATTACAATTTAACTAAATTTTACGAAAGTAAAATTATAAAAGCAGGTTATGCACAATTTCACAGAAGTGGAAGTAGTTTTTTACTTCCTTACCGGTTATAAAAAGGTCCATTAGTATAGCCATTCTACTACTGTTTCGCATACGCTTATATTTGTTCGTATTTGTTTGCATTTCTTTGTTACGCTAAATGAACCTTTATCAACAATGCGTAAAATATATAAAAACTAACAAACGTTTTACCTAACTCAGTTCCGGGACTAGCATAGAAGTGTTAAAACTGCTATACAGTACAAAAGGAATTTAAGTTCTATCCTGTAAATAAACTTTGAAATAATGAAACTCGCAAACTTAGGTTATAAAATTAATATGGTGTAAATCGATTTTACAATATCTATGTATGTTTTTTGTTACCGGTAAATTTTTGCTTAAAGTTACAGCCTATAACGTCCCGACTGTCTGGGCTCAGGCCTCCCCTCATTTCTGAGAGGGTTTAGGGCACAGGAAGTGTCCGCCACGCCTGCCCAAATGCGTGTTGACGAGCTTCACATGTCTTCGCAAATGTTTTTTTCTTATTCCTCGTAGACAGTGAGGTTTCCTCCACGATTGTTTTCCTTCACCGCCGAGCACGTGGGTAAATCAGCACTTAAAATTGCAATTAACAATTTCATTGGTGCCGGCGGGGATCGAACCCGGGTTCTCGCGTTCTGTTATAAAATTTACATGCGAAGCGTTAACCACTGAGCTTTGTTACCTTGGCTCTTTGCTTAAAGAATAAAAATAAGTGCGGAACCTTTTTTAATAAAATGTTTTTGTTCTAGCCTCATACGTCAAGGCACTCAATACTTTTTAAGTTATGTTTAAAGAAGTACGAAACATCTAATTTCAAACTTCGCGCGATATTTTTTTACTATTTCAAATGTTGGCTAAAATCGGCCAAATCGTTTGTTAGACTTCAAATGGCATTTATGGTTAAAAGCCCATCTAAGGGAACCATATCCCGCTGTTATAATAAATGTCTGCACGGTCGACTAACTTTGAGGGATTAGGATAAAGAAATGGTCGCCTTAAAACGGCTGTTGCAGAAGGAAACGAGTTAGCAGTGAAAAATTTCATTGAAGAGATGAATTACGATTATAGACATTCAGTCGATATTGCTGACTGGATCGATAAGTGTTCCCGTGATTTTAAACGAACACCTTCTCATGAGGGCAGTTTCGCATAACCTCACCGATACTCAGAAGCAGGCCGGCTAGGAATGATGCTGTGACATTATTGCTCACGAGTACACAGTGCACCTGATTATAAGTAGATACTGTGGCCCATAGATATCTATATCTATCCTTCATTAAGAATCAAAATGCAAATTTATTGTCACCCCTCCGGACTAAGAAGGACTACATCTTAAAACTACATACTACCTGTAAAAAGGTTCTCCGGTTCTCTACACGGAGCACAGCGGAATAAAGCTGCTATTTTACGCTGGTTTTCTATGAGAACCTGATCCTAACCTGGTTAAATTGACTCATTCGTGCTACAAATATAATATAGCAGCTTGGCTCTACCATGTTATCCAAGATCCAGAATGGCGCCAGTTCTTTTGCCTGTTACAAAATAAACAAACGTCTACCAAGGTAATCCGATTGAGAATAGCAGGGGATGTAGGCCTATTCGATATCGTTCACATAAAAATGATGTCACTTTATAGTATATTGCGTATGCTATATAGCTTTTCTATAAGAGTTACTACGACTCTTAAAACAATTGACTCAATGTATTACAATGTGACTATAGCCAGTAGCAAATAAGTTAGTGTGCGTCTATTTCTTTACGAAATGGAAGTGTAATCAATGCCGCATGGTATGCTACCAAATGATCGTTCTATGTGTGATGCTGTGAGTAATAAGCGACCGAACAAAAGGCTCAGCGAGCTATTGCTTCACCATGATAACGCACTTACGCATCCAATACTCAAAGCGAGAGACTTGAGAGCGAGGAGCACAAAGGTTAAGCTTTCCCTCTTTACAGGCCTGATTGATGACTGATGAAAAAAATAAATCAGCTAAAAGAGATATAGTTTTTATTGCCCTAAAGTACGCTTCAGCGTTCGAGTCGGCTGTAGAAAAAGTAACAGCAGCAGACTGAAAAAAATGTTTCTTAAATTGGATCATACGCATAAAACTCGATATAAGTAGATGCTGGTGGAGAGATATTTAAAAATAAAAATTTCGCTTTTTGAGTATAAGTACGACTATTAATTGCAATCGAATAGATTTTTACAGATTTTTGTTAGCGTTTGTAAATCCCTAAACCTTTTTTTATCTAAAATTAAATTTAATATTTTTTTTAATGAATGTTGCAAATGAAAATAGCGACAATTTAAGAGTTTCCCTGTCCGTGACAGAGACACATTTGAAATGTTCATATATCGGCGCCTCTACACGTTGGCCAACACAGTGGCGAATGTAGTGGCCAGTAGCATTGGCCAACGTGTAGACGGGGTGTTTGGGCTTCATTGGTATGTATTGGAACGATGGCCCGCAAGTTGGCGCGAGATCCGTGTGGTGTCGGTTTTTTACAAAAGATCAAAGGATTGTTGGCAGAGTTTGGTCGCCGCGTCCACACGTTGGCCTCGCGTTTAGTTTGCTACAAGCTCCCAGAGTGATTACACGCATCTGATTTAAATTTTATATTCAAGTTTTGTAGGGTGGATGCCCCAATTACTAGCCTTTTAGTGCCAATTTCAACTTTAAACTTTCCTACTACTTTAATTAGCGCGATTTAATTATTTTTACACATTTTTTTAATCGATAAGCTATTTATCAAAAAAAAAATAACGAACATTTATTTACAATCAGGTATTACGAGTAAAAAAAATTTTTTTGGCGTTTAGGGCCCTCACCTTGGAGGTTGTGTTTTGTTGTGCCGCCCTTTTTTTTTTTGTGACGCATCTGCATTTTGTTCGTTTGTTTCTGTGCCATGTAACCACTTACCATTAGGTGAACTGTGTGCTCGTTTGTCACCCTAACCTATTAAAAAACGTCGATTTCTTATAATTTTGCAAGTTTTCGAATCATCATCATCATTACAGCTCTTCACAAATCCACTACTGAACATCCTCCTCCACAGACTGCCGCAAAGCATGGTCCTGAGCCACTTTCCTTGTCATGAGTTTTTCATTTATGTTCTAAGTTATAATTGGTACCTATTATTAAGTCAGTGTTAATTTTATATTTATTGCTATTGTTTTTGTCTTTCTCAAAAAATAATTAAATAACCAAATAAATTATAAGGTGTTTTTATATGCATCAAATGTCTGATAGAAAAGCCAGTACATGTTTTGCTAAACTTTAAAATCAAAACCTAATTTTAAAACATAGACTAATCGATTATAACTCCTTTAACTTTAAAATAAGTTAAGTTCTAATTTATGGTATTTATTCCAGTTTATGATGCATGTAGAGAATAAATAAAGCTAATCGTATATCTATACTACGGCCCCATTAATATCAACTATTCTTTTATAACTTTTTTATAAAAAGGTTATCCACACACTTGGATTTTCTCCTGTATCGCGGAGGCAGTTTACAAACATAAATTGCACAAGGACACACATCCAGACCCGGGACAATTAGTTGTAGGACATACAAATATTTGTTCCGTGCGGGATTAAACCCGCGCCCCCCGGCACAGCCACTCATTGCTAAGCCACTGCGCCACGGAGCCGTCGTCCGTCCGCACTTTGGCCCGAACCCCGAACCGAAGTAAACTGAACGACCTTCCAACGTGTGGACGCCGTCACCAACTCTCGGCCAATATATTCGCCACTACATTCGCCACTGTGTTGGCCAACGTGTAGAGGCGACATAATTAGACTCACGGGACATTGAAATGGTTAAGACAAATAGTCCGATTTTATAAACCTATTATATTCTATAGGTATAGAAATGTTTTCCGGGAGTGACCTAGGTGAGGTAATTAAGTTCTGCAGCTGGTAACCAAAATTGCCTATCCTATGACTCACCTGACTTATTAGTCATCTGAGCCTCCTTTAGCCGAGCCTTGATCAATATGCACTAACGAGTACCGCTGTTATTTCCCACTGACTTGAGTGTGCTTAAATTGTGTTTAAATCATTTTAAGTCGCTCACCTAAGCCTCCTCGATCAGTGCATTTTCATCACTGTAGTTTCATTCTCATCTGAGTGTACTTAAGTTGGCTCAAACCACCAATCTTGTGGACGTCACTCACCTGAGCCTTTTTCAGCTGAGTCTTGAGCAGTGCGATGTCGCCGGTGCGCTTGTTTGGTATTTTTACCACTGTAGTTTCACACTCACCTGAGTCCTCCTTAAGTTGAGTCATCGATGTAGAGACGTCACTCACCTGAGCCTCCTTAAGCTGCGTCTTGAGCAGCGCGATCTCGCCGGCGCGCTGGCACATGCTCCACTTGGTGTCCTCGAGGCGCTGGCATGTTGTGACCTCACTCACCTGAGCCTTCTTGAGCAGCGCGATCTCGCCGGCGCGCTGGCACAGGCTCCACTCGGTGTCCTCGAGGCGCTGGCATGTTGTGACGTCACTCACCTGTGCCTCCTTGAGCAGCGTCTTGAGCAGCGCGATCTCGCCGGCGCGCTGGCACAGGCGCCACTCGGTGTCCTCGAGGCGCTGGCATGTTGTGACGTCACTCATCTGAGCCTCCTTGAGCTGCGTCTCGAGCAGCGCGATCTCGCCGACGCGCTGGCACAGGCTTCACTCGGTGTCCTCGAGGCGCTGGCATGTTGTGACGCCACTCACCTGAGCCTCCTTGAGCTGCGTCTTGAGCAGCGCGATCTCGCCGACGCGCTAGCACAGGCTCCACTCGGTGTTCTCGAGGCGCTGGCATATTGTGACGTCACTCACCTGAGCCTCCTTGAGCTGCGTCTTGAGCAGCGCGATCTCGCCGGCGCGCTGGCACAGGCTCCACTCGGTATCCTCGAGGCGCTGGCATGTTGTTGACCTCACTCACCTGAGCCTCCTTGAGCTGCGTCTTGAGCAGCGCGATCTCGCCGGCGCGCTGGCACAGGCTCCACTCGGTGTCCTCGAGGCGCTGGCATGTTGTGACGACACTCATCTGAGCCTCCTTGAGCTGCGTCTTGAGCAGCGCGATCTCGCCAGCGCGCTGGCACAGGCTTCACTCGGTGTCCTCGAGGCGCTGGCATGTCGTGACGCCACTCACCTGAGCCTCCTTGAGCTGCGTCTTGAGCAGCGAGATCTCGCCGGCGCGCCAGCACAGGCTCCACTCGGTATCCTCGAGGCGCTGGCATGTTGTGACGTCACTCACCTGAGCCTCCTTGAGCTGCGTCTTGAGCAGCGCGATCTCGCCGGCGCGCTGGCACAGGCTCCACTCGGTGTCCTCGAGGCGCTGGCATGTTGTGACCTCACTCACCTGAGCCTCCTTGAGCTGCGTCTTGAGCAGCGCGATCTCGCCGGCGCGCTGGCACAGGCTCCACTCGATGTCCTCGAGGCGCTGGCATGTTGTGACGCCACTCATCTGAGCCTCCTTGAGCTGCGTCTTGAGCAGCGCGATCTCGCCGGCGCGCTGGCACAGGCTCCACTCGGCGTCCTCGAGGCGCTGGCATGTTGTGACGTCACTCACCTGAGCCTCCTTGAGCTGCGTCTTGAGCAGCGCGATCTCACCGGCGCGCTGGCACAGGCTCCACTCGGTATCCTCGAGGCGGTGGCGCAGCAGCGCGCGGTCGCGGCGCACGCGCGCCAGCTCGGCGTCACGCTCGTCGCGCCCGCGCCCGTACGCCTGCAGCGTGAGCGCGCGCGGCGCCCGCAGCCGCACCTCGTGCCCGCGCATTCGCTCCGTTGTACTGGAACGATCAGTTTGTGCTTAAACTAGCTGTCGACCAAAGGTTCTAATCTTTCACGTAGGTTTTTTATGGAAAAAGAGTGGCAAAAGAGCACACACGCCCCTATGGTAAATGAATGCCTATAAAACAACAAACCTATAAACATTTTAATTAAGATTATCCTCTTGGATTAAGAATCAAAATGCATATGTGTTTTCACCCCTGAAAACTAAAATGGAATATCTTGTTACCAGTAAAAAGGGTCTGCGGTTCTTTACACTCACCATATGAAACACAGCAGCATTAAGCTGCTATTTCACGCTGATGGGTGCCTTTACCAGTCGAGCCGACTCATTCCTGCTACAGCCACAATATAGCTGCAGCACGGCTCTATCACGTTATTTATTATATACGTAATGAGTTTTACTCCAAACTTTTAGCTATAAAAGAACGTGAAAATTTATCATTAATTCTAACACAGCGCCACCGCACCCATTCGTCCGGTAAACCGTTTTGGTGATGAAGTGGTGGTGGCGCAAGAGAATCAAAATTTAAAGTCGAACATAACATTATCGAATTATCTTTCGCTCGTGGAAACTGTCCATGCGGTCGGAGCTAAGTTCTGCAAGACCCGCCGCAGAAGAACACAAAAACTTTCCGATCACACTCTTAATCTCATGGCTGTCAGACGGGAAATGAAGCTGCAGTCTTCAACAGATTTGACAGCATACAGGCAACTGAGCAGACAGATCACCAAATACATGCGGCGAGACTGACGCAACTTTAATACTGAGCGTATTGAAGAAGCGATCAAGCGGAACCAGGACTCCAAACTCTTTGCCAGAGATCTTTCTGCCAGTAAGAGCCATCTGTCAAAGCTGAAGACTGAGTATGGCAGTATCGTTTCCGGGACACCTGAGATTTTGAGTAAGATTAAGAGGTTCTATGGGCAGCTGTACACATCATCGTTGGAGCCACACGCAAGTGTGAGTAACGATCTAAGAGCAAGTCTTATCCGACACTATTTCGATGATATCCCGGACGTCAGCCTGAGCGAGATTAGAATGGCTCTTCAGCACCTTAAAAACGGCAAGGCCCCAGGTGAGGATGGAATTACAGCGGAGCTTCTGAAAGCGGGTGGAAACACCGGTACTTAAAGTCTTTCAGAAGCTCTTCAATTCCGTCCTACTTGATGGCACCACTCCAGAGGCGTGGAACAGAAGTGCGGAGGTCTTGTTCTTCAAGAAAGGCGCCAACGCTCTCTTGAAGAACAACAGACTGATATCCCTTCTGAGCCGCATCTACGTGCTGTTTTCGAGAATCATAACGAATCGTCTCGCACGCAAACTCGACGATTTATAGCCTCCCTAACAAGCCAGTTTCTGAAAAAGCTTCAGTACGATAGACCACATAAATACCCTGCAGCAGGTTGTACAGAAAACCGAAGAGTGCAATCTGCCATTTTTCCTGGCGAATGTGGACTATGAGAAATCCTTTGATTCCGTCGAAATTTGAACAGTCCCTTCAGCGCTGCCAAATTGACTGTCGGTATATCGAAGTGCTAAAAGTGTTTGAACAGTAGGGCTACGATGGTTATCCAAGTACAAAACCAGAGTACGAAACCTATCCAACTGCAGAGAGGTGTAAGACAGGGTGACGTTATATCCCCGAAACTCTTCACCGCTGCATTGGAAGATGTTTTTAAGCTACTGAACTGGAAAGGATACGGTATTAACATCAATAGCGAGCACATCACTCACCTTCGATTTGCCGACGATATAGTCCTTATATCATAATCATTGGAGGACTTAAGCACTATGCTCAATCATCTCAATAGTGTATCCCAAAGGATAGGTCTGAAGATGATCATGGACAAAACAAACATCATGTTTAATGACCATAACACATCTATGCTCGAAGTTGTTGACGAGTACGTTTACCTGGGACAAATAGTCCGACTAGGTAAGTCCAACTTTTACCGAGAACTCGACTGAGCAGCTTTCGGGAAATTAGGACATATCATATCGTCAGGTACTAATATACCTCAAAACCCAAAACAGTGCGCGTTGCCAGTGACAACTTACGGATCTGAGACGTGGTCCTTCACTGCTGGCCGTATGAGGACGCACAAGGTCGCTCAGCGAGTTATGGAGGGCTATGCCAAGGGTTTCTCTGATTGATAAACCTAGAAATGAGGATATCCGCAGTAGAACCAGAGTGACACGACATAGCCCAACGGATTAGTAAGCTGAAGTGACAATGGGTCGGCCATATAGCTCGAATAACCGACAACCGATGGGAAAAAAGGTTCTCGTGTGGCAGCCTCGTAGCGTGTAGCGTGTCGTGCAGCATGCAGGAAGTTGATGGATGCAGGTGGATCAGGAACGTACTTGGTGGCATTCCGTGGGGGAGGTCAATTTTCAGCAGTGGACTTGTGGTTGTAATGATGATGATGACTAACATAAAGTTACATTGGTTTTGGGTTATTGCTCATTTCCTCTTACCTGTATTCATGCTGATCCCGCTCGAGTTCAGAGACGCCAGAGTCGGCAGGCGACGGTGCCGGCACCGGTTCCTTACTCTCTGCGCTCAGACCCGTACTCGACTTTGTCCTGAAAAAGTAAGTCAAAAATTAATTATCTTTATTATTTAAAAATAAATTACTGTCCGTTAGTCGCGCCAAAACTCAAAAATGACTCGATCGATTGCGATGATTTTTTTGTGTTAATATGACTCCCTGGATGGTTTAAAAACTTAATTAAACCCGATAGGTGGCGCTGTTGTCGAGATGTAGAAATTACCCGAGCAAAGTCGGGGCGGATCTCTAGTAGTACACATAAAATAGTTTTAAACAACAGCCTACTGCTTAAGGACTGCGAATTGAAAAAGTCGTTGGTTTTATTCTACAATTGAATTTGAATTCCTGTCGTAAACCATATACAATATGTAACGTAATTAACGTACTTTGAGAAAGTAGTTTGTTCAGAATCGTTTACTGAATTGATTCCTATATCGTATTAGTAGGGCTAACAAAATTTCTAATAAACACATATAAAAAAATAACCTAGGAGGTAAGGTCCCTTACCCCTTATAGGTCCCTTATAGGTTATTTTTGATATATTCTTTCTTTCCCATATCTCTACTTCTCTTATTATCAGGCTCAATCGGAGCTCGCTTGTCACTATAACGCTGACACAACAACACAACAAAGATAGTAATAAATAATAATAATAAATTGTTTATTGTTTCTCAATACATACTCTTAGTCACGCATTACAGAAATTGAGGTAGCTCCAGTAATTTATAAAATACTTGTGTTGGAACTATCTCTTCCTGTAACTTTTTCTCGTATACTGCATCGACTTATCATCAAGTGAAAGTATATCACAATCTTTATCTTTATCTATATTAAAAGTCGACAATTGAACACACACCCCCCACAAAAACTTCCAAGTCACCCAAAAAGTCACCAGCATTCATTGAAGTCATTATTTGTCAGTACGAAGCTGCCATTAGAGAATTTGTTTTTTTTTTCCAATAACAGTCTGTTTTTAGTTTGAAATTTAGTTTCAAAGCCTATCCTTATGCATTCTGGTTGTAGGGACAGAAAGTAAAAATAACGCACTGGAGGCACAGCACCTATATTCATAAATGTAGGTGCTGTGCCTCCAGTAGTAAATGTTTATGGGCTAATTAGGAAAGTATTTACAATCACCTGAATCACGGTCACCATTCATTCGTGTACTACATTGCTAACGGTGTTCTACTGAAAACTGTTTTTAAATATTTAGGGCTGTCACAGCTTCGAGAATTTCATCTAACTAATATTTTATGTAGTTGCTGTGTAGATGTATGACATAGTAGTGGCATGAACTCAACTCTACTAGATGGAGTGATAACTTGGTAAGAGATGCAGGAAGCCGATAGACGAATGTGGCTCAGGACCATGTTTTGAACCATTCTTTGTCCAGCAGTGGACTGATAAAAATAAGCAAAATATTGACCCCCGTTCAGAGACGCCTTGCTTAGTTTCCTTAGTCATCGCTCAATACCGAAATAGTGGATTTGGGTAATCAAACACAACAAATACCGCCAGTTTTAAGTGCCTACGACTTGTCAATATCGCCCTGTATATGACAAGTCATCTAAGTCAGTACTAAAACAATTCCTAGTGTATACTGTACTATTTACGTTTATAGCTCAAATGTTAATACTAAGTAGGTAATGAAGGAGTGCCACGCTGTTTATGTCAACAGCTAAAATATTTATTTCGAAATATATTAATACAATATTAATGATAATTATGCCGTAGGGTGTCAGTATAAGAAAATCTATCTAATCTAAATTTGTACTTTGATTAGGAATGGTACAAGCCATCATTAGATGCCAAAAATATCTCTTCTGGAAGGAGATATAAGGCTTTTATATAATTATTTCTTAAATTTACGCGAACACTACACATTGAATAAAACTAAATTTACGGATTCTATCGCGTTTATTTAACTGATTTTACTTATTTTTAATTCCCGACGTTTCGGATGCTTTACAGCAACCATGGTAAAAATAAGTAAAATCAGTTAAATAAACGCGATAGAATCCGTAAATTTAGTTTTATTCAAGGCTTGTATATTCTAAATATAAAGTTCACGACCGCCGTGTAGTAGCGGCTTAAGAATAACTATTACTCCAAATCATTAATAAACAAAAGAAAATAAACTGATCTGACAACCCTATGCTCCATATCGTGTAATACTATCTGCATTGGCCTCTTATCTCGAACTCCAAGTGAATTTGTTTTAAAATCGCAATAGCAATAAAACGGTAAAAGGTGTTTTATTGCGTAAATTTTAATGTGTGTACTTTATTAGTTTATTTACGGCCAGTTTCTTTTATGTTGTCCACTTTGCACTCAGCCACTGAATAACTTAATCGGGTAAGCTATTCCGGTTCGCAAGGAGCGTCGTATACGACTGTCGGTCTGGCTTAGGGACTAAATAAGTTTGTTTGCATGCCTTATTTGTTATCTATCGTAAAGTCTATTGGCCTTTTGGTTTTTCTACTGCTGATTTATGCTGCATATATTATGGTTGTAGCGTGAATGAGTCGACTCGACCAAGGAAACACCACGCTCTCACAAAATATTAGAGTAAAATACCATCAATAGTGTTTCGTTTGGTGCATGTAGAGAACCAGGCAACCTTTCTTATGGAAACGAGGCATTCGATCTTAGTCCTCAAGGACAAAGTATCTACATTTTGATTCTTAATCGAGGTTAAATGTTGACTACGGGCCATAGTACCATCAGATGTTGTTGCTCTTTTGTTACATTATTCTATAAAAGAAAGAAAGAAGAAACATAGAAAAAGAGTGATGTTATTTGAAAAGAATGTTAACCAAACGGAAGACCCGTTAGTCGTATTATTTGGTTTTTCACAGTGTAATTCCGCCGCAAAAGCTTTCCACGTGGGTTCCTATGACCTATGATTATGTTTTTATGGTGCGCGGTATGATGGAGTGCGTCTCGGACGACGGCGCGTCTCGCTCCGCCGCTCGAGCGTGGTATAATTCTTGCTAGTGCCTTCGTTTTCGCTAAAACTTCTTAATGCAGAATTTCATTGACTATATCGTTGGTACACTAGGACTTGATGGACTTTTGGGCAATTTTAGACCACGACGTTGACCACGAAATGTTATAGTGCTACAAAACCCGTAAACAGAGCTGCCGCATATAATGATAGGTCAGCTAGATCGGGGAAGGACTACACCTGCAAGAAATACCAGCGTAAAATGGACGCACAATGCCCGTGTGTCTCGTATAGTGAGGTGACGTGCTCGGCGGCAGTGGCGAAGCTTTCATTAAAGCCGAAAAGCCGGGCTTGCTTTATTAAACCTGAATCAATCAATAATATCAATCAATAATATCAACTAATAAAATAGCTCGTAAAATGTTTCAAGCTATTTCAAATTTCCCGCGCACTCCACTGTTCGACACATGTCGACCGATGACCTCGTATTGCCTTAGCGATACTGCTGCTGTCATAAAAAATGAGTTTTAATAGAGCTAATAGTTGTCTCCCTCGCTCGCGTGGGCTTTTTACGGGGCTTTCGAGAAGACGATCGCTCTCTTTCTAACCTATGGCAAAATATTCTATAATGAAATATAACTACGATTGTATATATAGCAATTAGTATAGAGATTTATAGCCAGGCTTTTGGGAATAAATTTGTTAAAAGCGGAGGCGCGCGGGCGATACCTACGTTTGCAAGTTCATTTCACGTTTCAATGTTTATTTACTCTGTGTGCTTATTTTAAGCGATTTAATATTACGAGTTCAAAATTTATGCTTTTTTAAAGATTTTTAATGAAAATGGAGGATAATAGTGTTCCTTGTGATGAATTGAAGTGTGTTAAAGTGATAATCGGAGAGGAAATCTTTAAACTTTGTTAATACACAAGGTTAAGAGTGTATTTCAGACTTATCAATTATCGCAATTAAAAACAGTTATTGGTACAATTAAAACGTTCACCAACATTTTACGTGGACGTAATTAAATCTTTCCATAAGAAAGCGAGACGATTCCACTTATCTTATCTTATCTCTTATCCATTAGAATGTAAATAGGTAATTTGTTTCTTTTTTAATTTTGTACATAGTTTGTTTGTACTTTGTTCGTGTTTTACTTTTGTTCATGTATTGTATTGGATGTAAATATTTTTTTCTTTCGCTTAAACAAACTCAAACGGCTTTCTTCAAAGCCACCGAAGCTATGCAATTGCTGATATGTAATACAATCTATCTAGCAGTGGTATGCCTTCTGTGTGCTTTGTTAAACACGTCCTTGACAGCACTGAATATGAAACTGAAGCGTGGAGACAGATCAAGACTGGTGTATTTTTATAAAACTGCTAAAAACAACAATCTATATTTTTATCAATTTATATCTTGGGCTTGCCCTAGCTTGGAGCTCTAGCTTCGCCACTGGCTCGGCGGTAAATAAAATATCATGAGGAAACCTGCATGTCTGCAAAATAATATGTAATATAATAAAAAAATATTTAGAAGACATGTGTGTAGTGAAGTCTGCCATAGCTCGCTGGAGTATGGCGACTACAGAAATGGTAATATTACGATCTCTTTGATGGCGAAGGATTAATTGCTTCAACTTTTGCCTTTCATTAACCGCTCGGAAATAAGACACCTTGTCTTAGAAGGTAAGAGTAGAAGTACCAAGTAGTAGGACGTAAAGTAGTAATAAGGAAGAGCGGGGCCCTCTACTACAGGTATATATTTACTTAAAAGAGGGTGCCCAACAATATTGTAACAACTTACTACTTGTTTTAAAGTAATAAATTATCATTATCAGTTATCATTATCAGTACAAGATTTAAAAGTTTGTACATATTTGAATGCCTAAGGGGGCCTGTTTACCCTGTATCTTTACTTTGACCTCAGGGTACGTAACAAACATTGCACGTGATAGTAAGAGGATGCCGTGGCAGATACCCAATAATATTCAGGTTAAGAATCGAAATGTAGATGCATCGTTAACCCTGATTATCAAACGAAATCAGCCAAACTGATGGAAAACAATACTTGTGCATGGAATGTAC